ACGAGACTCACTTGATTGAAATTCTTGTCAAGAAGACTTTTGACACAATGACGTTCAACTTAATGAGACTCACTTGCCTGAAACTCTTGTTAGGAAAAATTTCGACACAATGACCTTTCACTTACTCATACTCAACTGAGCCGGTCACTAGACAAACAATCGACTCTGATACAATAACCTTTTACCTACTCATACTCAACTAGGCTGGTCAACAAACAAATCGTCGATTCTAATACCACTGTTAGGTATTTCTGAGGGGGTTAACAACAGGAAGATTCTTACAAATGAGACACAAATCAATCATATAAGAGAATATGATACCACCTTCAACAAAAAACCTTAACATATTAGGTTATGAATATTTCTTACTTATAAGTTATTCAATTTTCCCATTTCAACTCACACTTGAATTCTCAGCAATCTCACTCTAAAGTGTGATTCCCTTTCACATTGGTACACCTCTCTCTCGAGCGGAACCATTTCTTAATCGTGAGTACCCAGTATTGACCTTACTTATATCGTCGTTCAACTCAACGAGACTCGCTTGCCTGAAATCTTTTGTCAGGAAAACTTTCGATACAAGGACATTTCACCTACTTGTATCATCGTTCAACTTAACGGGATTTGCTTGCATAAAACCCTTGTTAGAAAGATTTTCGACACAAAAACCTTTCACCTACTCTAATTATATTCAACTGAGTCGGTCACCTATAACAACCTAAAATGTCAAAGTATGCAACGAAAATATTTTTAGAGTGGGAAAACCCTTCAATATGAGAAGTAAAAACCCATGGACACAATCCAATCAATCAAGTTCTACTAAGATGTATAAGATAGTCAAATCAAAATGCATAAATAAGTACTTACAAGTAGCCAATATATCACCACATCAGTGCTCTTAAATTTGAAGAACAAAGAAAATGAACCTAAAAACCAGTCACAGTGCGAGATTGATATGTCTAACCACAAACCTCCAATTGACGATCCCAACTGTAAAAATGAAAATGAAGACCTTACATCGTGAAGCTACTGTCAAAATTTCAGCCTGATCCAACTGTTAACGAAACGAGAATCATAATTTTATTGAGGCAGCTCAGTAAATAAGCGAAATTATTTTCTTTTCTTTTTCATAGGGCTGTGAAATTTACTTCTCCGTTCTGACTAGAAGACTCTTCTCCACTTAGGTTAAGTGAAATAAACTGGACTTGATTAATTTAGGCTTTTTAAACACATAGTTAAGAGTCCAACCCAACACATCTTCCCTAATATATTTATGAGTAAGTAAATTTTCTTAATAGTTTATCTTTATTCAATTCCAATTTTAACCAACTTTAATATATTTTAATGTATAATCATCATTGGTAATTGCTTGTCATATCTATGATTGACAACACGATTACATGATTTTATTCATTGCATAAAAAACCACTGTTATTCCTTAAACAAATAGCAAATTGGTAACTAAATTTGGTTGTTTTTATAGAAATTATTATATTACAATTATATTTTTATATATGTTTTAACTATGTGTAACTCGTTATTAGTGCTTATTCTAGATATAACATAATGAGCGGTAAGTCAAGTGGAAGACTACAAAAGCTCACGTGGTTGCATCTAAAGGTATAATCTATGACATTTATTTTTGTTTATTTACGTTACTAACAAACTAATTTAATTTCTATATTTTGAGAAACTGTGTAATAAACAATCTGGAGGATATGCGTATGATTAGTATGTAATGTAATGGATGACAACCATTATCCAAGTAGGAATAGATAAAGGTTGGGATAAGGTAAACCAATTAATATTTATTTAAAGATGATTATGTACCATAATTATATTTATGAAAATTTATTTACCATATTATAGTTTTTTATCGGTACATCTCCCATGGATACAAATGTCATACATTATATTAGATGCACATGGGCAACATACTTGATCAACATGATCAATTCATCATAATAACTTAGTTTCATGACTGTATATATGGTTGAGTCACAGGATAGTTGGTTGATTAGTCTTGTACATTTAAGATAGTTTACTAATCATACTTATAGGGTTTATAATGACTTTGTAGGATTTTATAGTAAAATTAATATTATATAGTAAGTATTGTATATATTTATGATTTTGTATCACTGTAAATATGTCTGGAATTTGTATTGTACTGGATTATGTATATTTAAATACACAGGAAATGGGGAAAAACCTAAAATAGATTTCACTTTTAAGAATAAACCCAATATACAATGATGATTAATACCATACCCGTTGTCATATGCATGCTTGATGCAAGGCTTCAACGACGATTAATACTATACTCGTTGTCATATACATGCCTGATTCAAGGCTTTAACGATGGGTATTACAATAAATGTTGTTGTATTATACGAGATACAACGATGGGTATTTGCAATATCTGTTGTTGTATGTGACATACAACAATGAATATTTGTACTTAACCATCGTTATATATATAAAGACGGGTAAACACTCATCGTTGTATCTCTTACATACAATGACGACTCCATTAACGCTGGGTTCTTAACCGGCGTGATTAGGCCAAATTTACCTGTCATTAATGACCATTATTACAGTAGTGTGATCACCAATCCAGCGATTTCACAGCAAGTTTCAAACTTCTGCCTTAACAATGCCTTAGTCATCATATTATCACCATTATCATTTGTATGCACTTTATCTAACTTCAACAACTTAACATCACGTATTCAATGATACCTCACATCAATATGTTTGGATCTAGATTAAAAGTTGGATTCTTACCAAGATGAATAACACTTTAACTATCTATAAATAATGGATAATTGTTCTGCACAAAATCAAGCTCCTGCAAGAATTTCTTCAACCATAATAACTCCTTGCATGCTTCTGTAATGATAATAAACTTTGCATTTGTAGTACATAATGCTACACACTTTTGTAATATTTATTGTCAAGCCACAACTCCCCCTTCAAACTTAATCAAATAGCCCGAAGTGAACTTTCTAGAGTCAATATCTCCAGTCATATCTGAGTCTGAGTAACCCATCAAAATGAGTTTATTATATCCAAAATAAGTTTCAAATCATTAGTACCATGAAGATACCTCAAAATTTATTTCACAGCATTCTAATGCTCTCTACATGGATTGGACAAGAAATGACTAACTATACTAGCACCATGTGCAATATCTGGTCTATTACATACCATTGCATATATCAAACTACCACTGCAAATGTATAAGAAACTTTACTCATATATGATTTGTCAACTTCATTTAAAGGACTCTGCTTAACACTCAATTTAAAATGAGTTGCAAGATGAGTGCTCATGCTTTAGCATTTTCCATTTGGAATCTCTGTGACACCTTCTTAATCTAGTGCTCTTGTGATAGCCAAATTTTCTTTTCACTTTTATCACGTAAGATAATTATGTCAATAATCTTTTTAAGAGCTCTTATGTCTTTCATGACAAATGACTTGTCCAATTGCTTTTTTAACCTTTCAATCTTGGAAATATTTTTTCCGAACAATAATATGTCAATAACATATGACAACATGATAATATAGTCTTCATCAAATAACTTTTTAACAAAGACACAATGATCAGAAGTAGTCATTTTATAATCTTCATCACGCTTAAAAGACTTAAACTTCTTGTACTAGTCTCAGAGTTTGTTTCAAACCATATAGACTTTTTCTCAGTTTAAACACATAATCTTCCTTACCTTCAACAAGAAAACTATCAGGTTGTTTTACGTAAATCTCTTCCTCCAAATTACCATGAAAGAAAATTGTCTTTACATTCATCTGCTCAATCTCTAAATCAAAGATAATAACTAAACTTAACACAACTCTCATAGATGACATTTTCATTACAGGTGAGAAAATCTTATTGAAATCAACATCAATTTTTTTATCTAAAATCTTTCACCACTAATATAGTTTTGTACCTTGGACATGTAGAATTAGTCTCTTACTTCATTATGAAAATCCACCTATTCTCTAAAGTCCTTAGGCAATTTTATCAAGTTATAAGTATGATTATTATGTCTCCGCTTGAGGAAGTGGTGTACTGAAAGGGAGTCACATTTGATGGTAAGATTATTGAGAATTCAAGTGTGAATTGAAGTCTAGATCGGATAAAAATGAGAAAAATAAATAACATATAAATGAAAAATACCCATAACCTAATACTTTAATATTTTAGGTTGAAGGTAGTGTTATATTATTTAATATGATTGTCTTAAGTCTTATTTATAAGAATTTTCCCTCGAAAATATATAAAAATATATTATTATGCATAATACTTTACTTAAAAGATGCTCTTGAACATCATACGAATTTTTTTATCTAATGAATAATATGAACGTAAACTCATATTTAAATTTCATGAAAATATATGCGAATGAAAATATTTTGAATAATAAAATGGTGATCATTGGCAGTGACGGATCTTGACCATTGATCTTGGGAGAGTCAAATAATATATTATTAATAAATAATAAAAAGAAAAAAGAATATGAAAGGTTGAAAAGATAAAATTGTAGTGATAATTAAGTTTGAGGAAACAAAATCATAAATTATATGAGAGTTATAAAATTGAGGAGGGACTGAGAGGATAAAATTGTAAATATACAAATAAATATATTAAATGCTCATTATGATTGAGTGGTGCAAAATCATAAATTATATGGGAGTTATAAAAGTTTGGGGACACGCCCCTAACTCCCAAAAAGATCCGCTGATCATTGGCATACTGCTCATCGTACATAAAACGGAACCAACACCAACCACATAATATAGAGGAAGATTATTATTAATATCAAGATCAATCATTTATTAAAATCATTATTATACGTGATTTAATTACGACTTTAAACAATTTGAATTGAACCAATTATGTTATATTTATACATTTTTTATTCTTTTGAAGTAATTAAAATTCAAATTGTTATTACCATGTTTCTGAAACAGTTTTATAACCTCGAAAGAAAAATGAGAATGAAAGGTGATGATGCCCCCACGTTGCGCACACATTTACAGTGTTTAACAGGTGCAACCAAAACCAAAATCGTTGATTTCTACGAAGGAGAACCATCAAGTACTCCTCCTAATGACAATCTCATACTATTTATTTTAGAATTTTCATTTTGTTTTAAAAAGTATGCCCATGAATTAAAATAAAATAATATACAAATTAATTGATTAATTCTTTAACTATAAAATTTACGAGTATATGAAAAAAAAAACAAAAAAAACTGTCAAAATAATAAAATGGCGCGTAGCATTATTCTGATACAGACAAAACGATGTCCTACAATACTAAATGTATTAATGACTGTGAACAGTTTTATGTTAGGCAAATACTATTTAAGAGATGTTGAGTTAAGCATGTGAAATGAAGACATATCAAGTGCATGGTTGTTGTTGTTGTCACGTGTCATTATGCCTCCTATTTACACACGTTTTTTCTAATAGTATAACCACTTATTCAGTTTTCTTTCGTTTTACTTCCCTTTATTTTTTTCTATTTTATTTTATTTTTCTATAGTTAATTACTCGTATATAGTTTTAAAATATTTTTTAAAATTATATATTCATGAATTTATTTTGAATAAAATATATATTTAAAATAAAATAATTTTGTTAATATATTTTAAAATATTTTAAACTAAGATAAATATTTCTAAAATTATAAATAATTTATTTAGTTAACTAAATAATATATTTTTTGTAATATATATCATAGAATTTTATATTTTTAATAAATACATATTTTTGTCATATTTAATAAACTACTGAGTTTACGGTTATATAATTAATTATTTTTCACATTAATTGACATTTATATTATTTGATATTTTTAAAAATACCTATTTTAATTTAAAATAAGTTAAATATAAATATTTATTTTATTTAAAGTTAGACTAAATTATATTATTATTTTAAAAAATCATTAAATATATTTTAAATTATTTTAAAGAATATTTTCTTAAAATTAATTATATTTTATTTTACATAATTTGTAAGAAAATATTTAAAAAGAGAAAAATGAAAAAAAGAAGAAGGAAGTGCTGGTAAGAGAAAACTGTAATAATGAAAAAGAAAAAAAAAAAAACGAGTACAAATTGATCTTGAGGTTTCTAATAATTTAGTTGCTTGTGTGGTTGGTATGAGAAGAAGAATGTAACAACCTCACTTGTACCAAATTATGGTTGTTAGTCATAGAAACGCGCAGGAAAGGATCACATAGTCAATAATAGTAGGACAAAGAAACGTTAGGAAAAATACTTCCTTAAAACAAGCCTTAAAAAATGTTTGATGTTTCTTTATATCTATAATTTTCAAACCTAAGATGAAAAGTGATAGGTGAATCTTTCTCATAATATATTTAACAACTGAAATACGGAATTAAAGAAAACGCTTCAAACCTCAAATAAGTACATCGACCATCGACACCAATTTTAAGGACAACATTATTTCCTACGAAACTAAGCTAAACTAATAATGAAATGAATTTCTGTTGTCCACGGAATCATGGCCATCTCCCACGCTGTTTAAAAACTGGTGACATGACAAATGCTTTATACCACGTAAGCATCGGTGGGTTATATTTTTAATTGATGTGGGATCATAATTATGGGTTGGTAATATTTCTAATTAACATCAAATCTTAAGATGTGTTTTTTTTTAAAGAGAATTGAGCAACATATTATAAAGAAAGATCCTTAATCCAACTTTTAAAGATTTTGGGTCGTGATAATCTTTTACATAAATTTGACTCATATCTTAAACGCGATGTTATTCTCTCTTTCCAAGAATGCCTCAAACCGAAAATTACATACAAGACTAATTATATTAAAAACATAGAATTGAATATTAAGATAATCTGATAACGTTCTGATAAGAAATGGATTAATAAATGATTAAGATAAGAAAAGATGATTAATTCAATTTACAAAACCATGATTTATACTTTGGATTTACACTTTTATTATATATTATAAGCTGGTCGTGCGGTTGGTTTTCAACAGATTTGCTTACGTGTGAGCATGTTTGTATTTGCTTACATGGACCATGTTTGGGCCTATATAAAGGGAGTGAGTATGGGGAAGTCACAGCAGAGCAGAAGGGGAAAAATGACTCCATCAGAGTTGCATGTGTCTTCCCAGATTGTTATTTCAGTCACGAACACCGTACGTAGGTCTGCAAACTACAAACCAAACATTTGGAAATACGATTTTCTGCAGTCACTTGCCAGTAAATATCAAGTGAGATGCTTTTTAACCTGCTCATATACTTTATCTTTTCTTCTTTACTTTTTTTCTTTCATTTACTTATTTCATCTATAAACTTCAACATTCTTTTTGTCATGTAAAATTTTTGTGGCCTTCCTGTGTTGTATGAACTTTTATTATTTAGATGACAGTAACGTACATTACAGGCAAAGCTATATATACAGAGAGAAATATAACTTTCTTACCTTTTATTAAAATTATTATTATTAATTATCTACAAATTTTTTACTTTTCTCTCCTTAATCTTATTTTTTTAACTCATTTACCGTTTTTATATTTTATATATTTAAATTCGCTTATTATCTTTTTAATCATAGACTTATATAATTAAGAGTTTATAAATACACCATTTAAATTAAAAAGAAAATTATCCTTGACTTAGGATGTTGAATCTGCCATTACTTCCGAACCAAACCTAATTAAGATTTTGCATTAGTCAGTAAACAAAAAGATTAAATATTTTTTCTCTCAGAATATTTCAAGTTTTGTTTAGTCTTTGGGAATAAAAGTTCATCATTTTCATGAATAAACTCAACGTGGGGTTGTTTACTATTTATACTTTGTTGCACGAATTCTGCAGAAGGAAGGATCTGTTATGCTGTTAAACAAGCATGTGATGGAAGTGAAGAGTCTTTTTGTCGAAGAGACGAGTATTTTGAAAAAATTAGAGTTGGTTGATTGGATCCAAAAATTAGGCCTTGCCAACCATTTTCAAAACGAAATCAATGGCTTTCTCGAATCGATACTTGTCTATGTCAAAAGTAGCAACATTAATCCTAGTTCAGAACAAAATTTGCACGTACCTGCACTATGCTTCAGGCTTCTAAGAAATCACAGATATGCAGTTTTGCCTGGTAACAGTTCTCTCTCAGACTCACTATGTTTGTCATCATTACTGCAGAATCTGCATGTGAATTAACTGACTATATTTTGATTCATCGCTTCTCAAACTCAGACATACTAAGCAAGTTTTTAGATGAAGAGGGTAAAATGGTGAGAAAAATTAGCTCAAATGCTGTTATGGAGCTTCTTGAGGCCTCACATTTAGGATTGAAAGGAGAAAAGGTATTCGATGAGACCAAAACTTGTGCCATTAATTTTCTGAAGGACACTATGCGGATGGAAAGTCCTATCAACGTGGACCAACCATCGAATCTAGCTGTTGAAAGAATAGTCCATTCCTTGGAGCTGCCGTCCCATTGGAGAGTACCGTGGTTCGATGTCAAATGGTACGTGGAGCAGTACAAACACGAGAAAAATATGAACGTTCATTTACTTGAACTATCCAAATTGAATTTCAACATGATTCAGGCCACACTTCAGTTGGAGATCAAGGAATTATCCAGGTATAATTTTAAACCAACCAAATAACCGTGATAGAAAAATTACCACGCTTCTTCTACATGTGTTAATACTTTTCATCTGTGGTTAAGGTGGTGGGAGAAGCTTGGCATTAAAGAGTTGAGCTTTGCAAGGAACAGGTTGGTTGAAAGCTTCATGTGTGCAGCAGGAGTTGCTTTTGAGCCCAAGTACAAATCCATCAGAAAATGGCTCACTAAAGTTATTGTTCTGGTACTAGTCATCGATGATGTTTATGATATTCATGCCTCATTTGAAGAGTTGAAGCCCTTCACAAAGGCGTTTGAGAGGTTTGTTTCATTATTATACCAAAGATTGTTATACACAGGCTTATGTTCATATGTTTAGGGTAACAATCGCATGCATAACATGCACAGATGGGGCGACACAGAACTTGAAGAACTTCCAAGGTACATGAGAACATGCGTCCATGCACTTCAAAATGTCACAAACGAAATCGCTTATGAAATTGGCGGAGAAAATAGCTTCCACCTGGTATTACCTTACCTAAAGAAAACGGTAATCAATGTTCTCTTAATCTGTTCTTTCAAACACAAATCAATGCAAAAACCTTAGAAAAGAATGAAACAAAACAAATGTTTAATTTGACAGTGGATAGACTTTTGCAAAGCATTATACGTGGAAGCAAAGTGGTACAGCAAGGGATACATTCCATCGTTGGAAGAATATCTAAGCAATGCTTGGATTTCATCTTCGGGTCCAGTAATTTTACTCCATTCATATCTTGGTACAGTGTATCAAGTAACGGATTCAATGGATGATTTTCTACACACGTACGAAGATTTGGTCTACAATGTATCTCTTGTGATTAGACTATGCAACGATTTAGGGACGACAGTGGTATATAATATAATCCTTTTACTTGAATAAAAGTTGATACTTTGAATCATATATTGCATAAGGTATTGAATAATGCTAATGTAGAATGAATAATGAAACTAACAGGCTGAAAGAGAAAGGGGTGATGCAGCTTCGTCGATCGTATGCTATATGAATGAAAAGGGTGTTTCAGAGGATAAAGCAAGAAAGCATATCGAAGAGAGAATCATTGAAGCATGGAAGAAGATAAATGACAAGTGTTTTGGTTCTTGTGGTTGCTGGATGGAGCCATTTCTTACTCAAGCTACAAACGCAGCTCGTGTGGCCCATACACTTTATCAAAATGGCGATGGTTTTGGAATACAAGACCGTGACATCAAAAACCATATCTTATCACTACTTGTAGAACCCCTTTAACCAAGTGAAAGTTTTTTTAGTAATCATGTATTAACAATCCCATTTTCACATATAATCATTACCATTAGACCATTCTCTTATTATAATAATAAACAAGTAATATAGACAAAAATATATTATCATTATTATATTAGAATAGTTGCCATTAATATTTTAATTGCGTCTATACCATATTGATTCTACTGTTTATCTATGGATGAACCAAAAATGTAGAACTTGAAATTAGAAATTGATTCTTTTTAAATGTCTAAATATTGCTAAAGAAGCTTTTCAAAATTAATTTTTCAGATGTGTTTTGGGATCAACTACATTACAAAATAGTAACTAAATGGATTATTGATCAGTTAAATTTTGAGACCGGTAGGTAGTTCATTCCAGTTCACCGACAATACCTCTTTAGAATTGAAAGCGGTATCATAATATCAGCTGATAAGCTTACAATTTTTCACACCATGTTGGAAACAAATTAAGGAAATTCATTCCGGTTTTTGACTTGAGATTGAGTGAAGAGACAAGACAAGGATCAGCGTCCCCATATTAACAATAGCTTGGTCAGATGACCCAAAACCATGCTATAACAGACCCAGCAGCCAGACCAAAAACTAAAAATAACACACTCACAATCCCAGCTGTCTCTGCATGCTGCAACTTTACAGCTTTCGGAATCATAATCATCAATACACTGGTTAGGTAGCCATTGGTAAGCCCTAACAGGCAAGTCAATATGGTCACGGGAATCTCAGTCCGGAAGAATTGGGGACCATGCAAGCAGCCTAAGAAGAGAGGGAGAAACAGCAATCTTGCTATGCAACTACCTACTGCAACTTTAGCATTCTGCAGGAGGTAAGCTGCAGTCAGACACTTGCCAACCAGATCAAACACGTTATAGCAAGCAATTAGGAGAATTGGATACCAATCCTTAAGGATTTGAGAGTGCACATCCTCAGTAACGTAACCAGGAAAAATTGCCAGAGTCACCACATAAATGAGTACAATGCCAAATCCATACCATTTGATGCTTCCCATAATATCCCATACAGTTGACCTCCACACAGCTCCAGTCAGGGGACCATTGTCTTCATTTGCAGTGGCCGCCTCAACCTTAAGTTCATTATAGTACTTCATGACAGGAAGTTTGTGCACCATGTTGTATAAAACCATGCATATGAACACAATCACAATTGATACAGAGAAGTAGAGATTTGCACTCTTTTGCAGGCCAGAGGCATCTTGTGAGTAAACAGCTTTTGTAAATATCCTCAGGACAGAAACAAGCACCCCTGAAGTCAAACATCCACAATGAAAAGAGAGAACAACTTATCCACCCCAAGTTCAATAAACAAAGGATATATATCAATAACTTCTTACAAAATATTTGCAAATATATAAGAACCCAAAACCAGAAGATTAATGTGCTTCATTCAGATTTAAGGAGCAAAAAAATTACCATGAAAGGCATAAACCATGCAAAACTGAGCTCTGGTCAAGATGTTTATATTGCATAACCTTACAGTTTCAACTCAGAATCAAGCTCTGTTTGGTCTGTTTCATTATTCTTGAGTTTATCACCCATCATAAGATAATAAATGCTTAAGGAAAGGAGATTCAGGAAACCTATGATTCGCAGATAATCTTGTCCCTTCCGTATAAGTTTAATCCCTCTTCAATGGACTTTTATACTTTGAGAGATTACTTTTCTGACTCTAGGCAACCATGGCCTAAAATGATTAAGAATGTTCACCCCCGAAAGAAAAATTTGCGAAGAACCCAAGATCCCAATGATTACACTACGAACATGATTTTAAAATTCTCAAATATTGTAGGAACATGTGCTATATATAACCTGACTTCGACATATAATAAGCATGCCAGAGACCTGTGTCTAGCGAAGGTATCATAGTACATTTATCAATGTAACCCTAAAGAAGAAAATGATCGAAACGAAGAGTGAAAGCTGCAGGAACGTCTATCAAACTAAACAACAACTCCACGACAAACATAACATTTTAGTTAAAAGTCAAAATCTACATAAAATCGAAAAACGAACCAAAAACGGTGATTGATTAGAAGGATATGATTAAGATAGCAAGTATAGACGATACCAGACCCAGCGGTGCCGGCGACGACAGCTTGCATATACCTCTCCGGCAGCTCGCCGGCGGAGCCAACAAGGGATCCCTGCACCAGAGCATCGGCCACGCCGGCGATCCCGAGGGCGACGGAGGTGACGTAGAAGCCCCCGGATACCCCGACCCGACCCTTGACGTAAAACGCATCGATCAGGGGAACGATGAGGAGCGAAACGACGAACAGCGCCAAACCAACGTTGATTCTGACAAAGGCGTTGGAGGTGTGGCTGTAGAGGATAATGAGGGAGATTCCGACGAGGCCGATGACCATGTAAACGACGGCGAAGATGCGGTCAACGCTGACGTCAGGGTAGAGGTAGGAGAAGTAATCAACAGCTGTGATGAAAGCGTTCCACGGAAGAAGGTAACCTAATCCGAGGATGAAATACACTATGTAGGCCAAATCCCATTTGTCTTCTGGAACATTGTTCTGCCTGCTGTTCGAACCCGAAGGAAGGAGAAGAGACGATTCTGTGAACACCATCTCCTTCCCAATTCTGATAATGCCAAAGGGTGAAGTAAAGTAAAGATTTTTCTCTAATTCTGTGTGATTAGATTCTGATTCTGCCCCCACTTCTTCTATTTATCTATGCACATTTCACAACAATCTATGCAATTATTTCGCTTGGTCAAGGAGAAAGTCGTGTTCTTTAAGGATTTCTATCCGTCTTTCCTTATTGATTCATAGTTACCTCTTTAGTTTATCTCTCACGGTCAATCACTTCTTTAATTTCAGATTGTTAAAGGAAATCAAATGTAATTAGATTCATCCTAGAAAACACTACATGTTTGAATTCAGAATCTAAAGTGTAAAAAAAAAAAGGGAAAATCATCAAAAGCTACAAACTTTATTCCTCTATACTTCTATCTCTCTCCACCACAACTACTTTCATCTTACTTAAAATTAATGATTAATTAAATTTAAATATTTTTAAAATAAAACTGTAAACATTCTTAAATTATCCTAACACGATCAGAATTTTAATAACAATACCATTTATTTAGCTTAATCTTTATTAAATATAAAGTTTTAATTTTTTAAAGTTGTTATATATTTAGTAATTTTATGGATTTTCTTCATATCTATTTAATTATGTTTAAGTTGGACTGTAGCTGTTTGGCTTTGACTTTAGGTTTTTCCTTTTTATTTTATTTATTTATTTATTCAGTTATTTTTATATCTCTTTTTTTACTATTTAAAAATTTATACTTGATATTAAAATTTAACTCCACTTTGAACTTAAAAATCATATTTATACTTTTCCTTTTGCTTTCAAAAGGTTATATATGGTTCCTAAAAAGGAGTGTTTTTTTTATAATGCAAACACAAGTATCAATAGACACAATTCTAACTTTCTTTGTAATACTGGGCCTAATGTCGCGCTGAGGCCCAGTCCCAAACGGCTGAAGCCCATTGTTATTCTTACACAACTTTTCTTTGTTATTCGCACGTCCTAACACTTTGTTGATGCCAAACTAAATAGTTTTTAATATAAAATTATATAAATAGTTATTTAAATATTAAAAATTATGTTCCAAATACTGAAAAAATTCTTCAGATTTCATGTAATGATAATGAAAGATTGCTATTATGAGATACTAAGTGCACTTCACCATCACATACAAGTTTGAAGCTAAAATATCTAAACAAACAAACAGAGCAAAACATATACTACACGACTCTCTCAACTGGGTTACTCTGGATAAGAACAAGAGACATTATTTTAGGCATGTTTTTAGCACATAGAAATCCTTTCAGAGTGACCAAATTTTTTTAACACAAACTATGATGATCTAATACTTATTATGCAAGCACCACCCTTTACTATAAAACATTCAGATGAATTTTAACATTATTTGAATAGAGAAATCTGCCATATTTTTGTTTCACAATTATAAAAGAAATAAAGAATATGCAATACCACGAAAAATAATATTATAAAATTTTATATGACTAATATAATTGTTCTTATTTTAGTTTTATCTGTAGTTTGTAGTTTGTCTGATAGTGTGTTGTGTGTCATCTACATCTCGGTGCACTAATTCATGTATTTTTCGTTCTTCTCAAAGCTGCAGAAGCTGAAACAATCAGGAACAAACAAACAAGAAAAGTTTCTACTTGGCTTATGAAGGAAAACGAGCTTCCCAAGCAAGGAGGAACGTGCCTTAATCTACTTGAAAACTTTGAGATTTCATACAGAACCGGATTCTCATGCCACATCCTTCATTAAGTTAAAGGGTACTTCTTCGTTGGAATTTAATATGCATGAAAAAAAAAAATTAAAATGATGTGTTCCTAATCCATGCTTGTTTTTCTGTTGAGTTCTGTTTGCCCTTATTACCATCCCTGGCTATGCAACACTTAAAGTCATTACTGGCTTTGTTAATACAGAATTGAGTTTCTGGCTATGGAAATTCTCTCATGTAGATCTGGACCATGCTGCCAAGTAGTGGACTTGAACTGCAAATTGGTTGACAAATGTTTGAATTCACGTCCTTCAAGGTTTCCCATTTATGGAGAGCGTGGAGTTTGTTATACCAATACAATTTCTAGAAGCGGCTCAGTGAGAGTTCATGATAATAAGGAGCAGCAAAGAGATTTTGGGTCTCTGAGTGTTCTTGAAGGGTCCAAAAGAATCAATTGCAAGGCCTGCAGTGATAGTTATGATGGCTATGTGATTGGTGATGAAAAGGATTTAACAGATATTTCAGGGATGGAAGAGCCTGCTGCAACTACCAACGTTGTCATTCCTGGTCTGCCAGATGGATCAAATGGTGAATGTGGTGCTCCAATAAGTAGTTATTTTTGGGAATGGAGGCCTAAACTTAACGTTCACTATGAGAAGGCAGGGTGTGAGAACGTGGATTCCCCAAATGTTCTCTTTCTTCCTGGTTTTGGTGTTGGCTCTTTTCATTATGAAAAGCAACTGAGAGATTTGGGGCGTGACACTAGAGTATGGGCATTGGATTTTCTAGGCCAAGGATTGTCCTTGCCGTTTGAAGATCCTGCTCCTCACTATACTAAGGAAGGGGCTACATCAAATGGAAATGCTTCTTCTTCATGGGGCTTCGGAGATGAAACGGAACCATGGGCCACTAAGCTTGTATACTCTATTGATTTGTGGCAAGATCAAGTTCGGTACTTCATAGAAGAGGTTGGTGACATGCTATTTGATAACAACCAGCTGGTTTTTCATTACAGTTAATAATCAACGTTTACTCAAACTATGTGTTGAAAGATATCATGCAAAAAGCTTGAGTTTCTCTTGCATAGAGATTAGTCACGACCATGATACGTGGTGATGATTTCTCGAGCTGCCTGATAATTTTTTCCATTTCAAAGAGATAATAAGGGTAGATTGTTTGGTGTAGTTTACTCAGGAGGCAACTTGTTTGTGGATATTGGCCATTGATGAATAATTGGTTTTCTGCAGGTCATTGGTGAACCAGTTTACATTGTGGGCAACTCACTAGGAGGATATGTTGCATTGTATTTTGCCGCACGTAACCCTCATTTAGTGAAAGGTGTCACACTTCTTAATGCAACACCTTTTTGGGGGTTTCTTCCTAATCCTAAAAAGAATCCACGCCTAGCAAAAATTTTTCCATGGGCTGGAACATTTCCCCTACCAGCAAGTGTAAGGAGACTGACAGAGTTGGTGTAAGTAACTCTTCATTTATGCGTTGTAGGCAGACATGCTTTCAATATTATAGTTATGAACTGCTGTGGCATATTTCATTTGTGTAACCTTTTATCACATCCGTATGTGACTGATACTAGAACAAGAAACATTGCTGAATGGACCAAGTATTCTATTTGATAAGAGCAAACTTGGAACATTATTTTTCACCAGAAGAACTGTGTTGTTAATGTATTTTGAGAAAGAAACTTTTGTAACCACTTCCAACGTTAGACTGTCATTTGATTAAATAATGTTTTTCTTTGCTCATCCAGGTGGGAGAAAATCAGTGATCCTGCAAGTATTGCTGAGATACTTAATCAGGTTTATGCAGACCATTCAAGGAATGTAGATAATTTAATTTCACGCATAATAGAAACTACACGGCATCCTGCAGCAGCAGCAGCATTTGCTTCAATTATGTTTGCTCCCCAGGCAGAATTATCTTTCAATCAATCGTTATCTAGGTAGGTACTAATACATCTCTCACTGAGTAATTTGTAGTTCCAACTTAAGGATTTTCAGTTCATTTTCATTTTAGATGTCGAAAAAATAATGTGCCAATCTGCCTCATGTATGGAAAAGAAGATCCCTGGGTAAAGCCACTTTGGGGACTCCAAGTTAAAGGGAAGGTGGCTGAAGCTCCATATTATCAAATCAGCCCTGCTGGTCATTGCCCTCATGATGAAATCCCTGAGGTATATACATCACAATTTCTTACTAATAAGCATCGAAGTTCTCTTCTTTTACTCTATAAGTTAATGCATGAAAGGGGTTAATGCTTAGTAGTACTACCATTGGCAGGTCATAAATTTCTTGTTACGTGGGTGGATCAGAAATGTAGAGTCTCAAGGTTCTATCTCATTGCCACTGCTTGATGATCTAGTCTGTCTGAAAGAAGCTAATGTCTGGGAGTTAGAATTCTGTAGAGAAGGTTCAAGAAAATCAGCTATGGTGAGATTCTTCGGCTCCAGAATCTCGCTTTTGGATAGACTAAGATCTTACATCGACAACCCACGCCCCAAGTTGAGAAATTCAGCAACTAAATCTCAATGACATGATGTACATTAGTTATTATTATTTTTTTGTCCCTTGTATATTCATTATATTATCAGAATCAGTTTTGCCTGTCGTGTGTTTCGCGACCATTAGACACCAGTCACTGGTACAGGGCATGTCAAATAATCTGTCCCTGAATTCATAGAATAATATTGGCTCTAATTTATGGACATGTGTTATTCTCTCATGCATTGAAAATCACCTCTAATAATCTTTCATATTTTTTTTCAATAACATGTTTCAAGAGAAGATAGTTTGAAAAAGTATTCATTTTTAAATAAAATTGATAAATTAAAAGTAATATATGGCTAGCGAGCGATCGCTCCAACGGTACAGCGGAAGATGATGAGAACGCTGTCTACTCAATTTCGTTCCATCAAACACCCACGCCCAAATCCAAACCCTAAATTATCCAAATCGTCCTCCCCTACAAAATCAGAAATAAAATTCAACGTGAAACCAAAATCAGAGCCAGAGTCAGAGTCATGGTGTGTTTATCTCCTCCTCTCCACCAACCATCCAATCAAAACCTACGTTGGGATCACAAACAATTTCCCTCGCCGGTAACTTTAATTTTCCCGATGTTCCCAGCTGAATGATGCCTCTGTTAACTTTCATTTTCGATTGATTTGTAATCTGATTTAATTGCCCATCCTGTCCAGTGGATGCTGTTACTTTCATTTGCATTCTTTTACATTCCCGTGATGAAAAAAGTATTGTTCTTTCAATCTGTGTGTCCGTGTTTTTCTCATTCCGAGGTAAATTGCAACGCCTCTGTTCTGTAATGTAACATTTCACAGGATATTGGCTCAGTAAACTCCAGTTTGTGAGTTAAGCTACAGGTTAATACCAAATGTAAAAATCATTGCGTTAATATGTTCTCAAACACCCTATTAAAATTTTTGTTCTCTTGATCAAGTTGATTTTGCTATGTTTATATTCTATTTTACAAAACTGATGTCTGCCACTTACATTGAAGTTAAAGTAATAATCGACGTTTGATTTGTACTTAATTGGCGTAGTTTGAAGCAGCACAACGGGGAACTTAACGGAGGTGCAAAGGCATCCCGTGCTGGAAGGCCTTGGATTTGTGCATGCATCGTTTGTGGTTTTCCAGACCGGAGTGAAGGTATATATGTCTTCTTTTGTGTGTTTTTACTTACATCATGGTACTACATGATTGGTTTTTCGTTGTCATATGGAGAAAGAAACTTGTTGATTTTTTTAATGTTCTTGTAGATTATTATTTTTGGAATATTGTCTGTTTGATTTTTTTTATTTGGTGGGTGCTATATGTTGTATTGTGATTTCTTCAGTGAACTTTACCTTAAATATGTTCTGAGAAAATATAAAGGACCTGGTGTACAATTGATCAATTAACTCCCTCCCATAGTTTTCTAGAAGTTGGAACAAAGAATATTTGATTAATCAATTTTAGAACTCAGAAAATTTTAGGAGAAAATTAATTAAACAATTTTTACAGTTCCTATTTGATATAACATATGATGTTACTCAATTTGACTAACTGGCTTATTGCAAATTGAATGGCATGCAGAAAGAGGACCTATTTTATGACTAGAGATATGTTGTTCTCATGAAACTACCTTCCATTTCCTTAATCTTCTGTGCACAAATATTTTACAAATTGCAAGGTGTACAAATTACAATATAGCGAGGAAATAGATAGAATACAGAAAAGAAACTGCTGAACTAATTGACAAACTCTGCTCAGCTTTCTTGGTTTTGCTTCAATTTCTTTTTGCTATCTTTTCAAATTCCTATTCAAACAACAATTCTTCTGCAGAAACCTTGCCCCTTGGAAAACTGAAACAAAGGTTAGTACAAGTAAAATTTTTAAATAGAAAATCTGCACAATAGAACTAATTATAGAGCTCAATGAACTAATATTACCTAAATTAAACAGTCCACCATTCCCACATTCTCTCTTGTTGAGGTTCCAGCATAAATACCAGAATACAACTTGAAGTATAGAAGTGAGATGAGTGTCGATCCCACATTTAACTTTAGCGCAAATTAGTTCTTGAAGCTAAATTTTTGTTTACAAGGAGTCGAGTTGTTGCCATACACGTGATTTAAATATAAATCAAAGCTACTTAAAAATGATTATAACTTAGATTGACAAACTGGGATTGAACTTCATTGATCTTCCTATATATTTTACTGATTCAAACATACATAACTATCAAATTATAGACTCAGATAGAATACTAATTTTATTCTCAAACAAATTGATCATAGATTCCTCAGATATACATCAATTCATTCAGCATTAAGATTTAGTATTTGCGCAATGAATATATTGATATCTAGTCCTAGAGTACCAATATATCAACTTATCTCATTCAGACCCAAATCTAAGAAATACTTTCCAGTTATAACTCATGTTTAACATCTGGATGCTATTAAATAGATAAAATCCAGCACAAAGAAGAAAACCAAAACCTGTAACATGAGAAGTATATATATGAACCAGTCAAAATACAAGAGAGGTTGACAATTACATTCAATTTCAAAGGAGAGTTAGCTACTCTTGGCAGCCATTACACATCAGATTACTAAATCAAGTGAAGATCTAAGTGTCTCCACTCTTCTTCCTTTAATTCTCTCCTCTGATCTTCCTCCACGACTCCTCAGAATAAAAATCTACCTGAGAAAAATGCACAGGCTACTTTAATTAGGTTAGCAAAGTAGGAGAATCCTTGCTGAAGTGCCATTTCTTGCTCAGTTGTGGAGAAGACTTCATTATAAAAAGTATCATTAGCGCAAATGCAAACGATGACACGAACTTGAAAAGATTACAATTCAATGCTTTGACCATTTCCACCTTCATTTGAACTGAAAGTTTCATTGAATTTGTTTACCAATCTTATATAAATATTTGATACAAATTTTCATTTGTGCACAACTAATTCTCTATCTCTATTAGGGTGGAGGATATCACTTTTTATGCAAGCTTTGGGTGCAGAATTTTCAGAAAAGAACATAGGCTTAAATGGTTTACGAAGAAATTTGAAACAGGGTTGACTATTTGGCTCTAGCTTGAAATTTAACGAAACTATGCCTTAGTCATTTTCTGCATCCCATGTTTCATAGTGATAAAAAAAATCAAGCACAGTTAATTGATAACAGTGAAGACTCTCACATGTGTTTGAATTACTCATTCTCATATCTCACTTGGCTTAGGCTAAGTTTCCTCCATAATCAGAGCATTGTTTTGTTTCAATCATTCAACCTGTTCAGCTTTAAATTTTGAAATTCTTGCTCTTTTTCAGTTTTTGTTCCACTTGAATTTGATTCTAGATTCATAACAAGGTTAAAACTTGACTTTTTTTTTTCAAACCATTCAAAATGAACCTAACTCAAAATGATCATCATACTACATTAAACTCAAAATAATACTAACTTGTCACATAATTTACAGAAAAGTATTGAAAACTATACATAACATACAAACAAAACAAGAAAGTACTGAAAGCAATAAATGAAACATGAATAGAAACCTGGTATCTATCTTGTTCCACAGGTTTTTCAAACTCCAACAATGTATTCATCCTGCTCAATGCTTATCCCAGTTTCAGCATCCTCTTGTGGAATTCTCAAATCCTCATTTCCTCCAACACCAGCTGGGTTTGTCCTCCTGAGAACACAGGACTGTCCCAAGGCCATGCCAAGAAAGCATTGAACTGCTCATGAATCATCCATGGACTTTGCTTCTGCACATAATAAAGTCTTGCATGAAGTTGAAACTGACTCCTATGAATGAACGCATTCTGCAGCTCAATATGCTGCATATATAATCGTTTGCATCTGTTGGGCTAATGATACTTCTGCATATGGTGAGTGACACACGTGGCACTCATCACATAACGGTCCATTTCATCTGATATGAATTGTGCTAAATAGATTGGGTATCCTGCCATAATACAATATAAAATCTCATACATGACTCCTTGGATATTTAACTCTTTTTTAATCTTTTGTAATATCCTGAAGCCATTCTTGCAACATTATAATCCAGCTATCTTTTTACTGAATTGACTAGGATATTGTTCTGATATAAGAAGAATGTCTCATCCCCTATGTTTGATCTGTTAAGGATATCAGCATTGTCAGTTTCTCATAACTAAGAAGTTGCAGCCTTATTATTTCGTTTTTCTTCGTTATTGTGTAGCCAGTATATTTGAATCAAAATGGAAAGCTATCTCAAGGAGAGCTCCCCGCAAAAGTGAAAATGATCGTCTCTCCAAACAAAGTGAAGATCCATCATTACCTCTGCTGCGACACAGACAGGCAGCTTTGAAAAAAGTGAAAGCTTCACTAGACTGCACTCACTTAGAAATTATTTGGCATTTGGATCCATTTTGACCAAACTCTAATGTATGTGTTTTAATTATTTGCACTAAAGTGCAAGTGGCAAAATATAGGTCATATATTTGAGAAAAATTTCAGTGACACACTTACTGCTGCAATTTAAATTTATTAGAAATTATAAAATCAATCAGTGGAGTTTAAATAAAAATTAAAATCCATCGAATTTTATGATTTTTAATAAATTTAATTAATAATATAGATATTTAAGAGAGTGTGTTGCTAACGTTTTTCTAGTGTGCTGCTTCAAACTGTATCAGACATTGACTGGTTCCATGCAGTAAGTTAGTTTAATGTAAAAGCAACTATTGGGTACAGGGAGCATGGAATGATAAATATTAGTTTGTAAAAAATTATAATATTTTGCCGGCAACTGATCATGCAGGATGTTATTGTACCATGAGAATGGATTGGTTCTTGACTTTCCTTGTCTATGACTATGAATAAACTGACATGGGAGCAATTCTAATATAAAAGGAGTTATGCATCCAAAGTATGGATACTTCATCATCAACACGAAATAAATACCTGCAAATGTGCAATAAATCAAAATAAACTATGAAGTGGAATGAAGTAAAATACTAGTGTTTCTGGGGACAAGTTGTTCACATTACATAGTTGTTTAAAAGATATTTTTTTTAGATTGTTCATATGAATAAGAATGTTTGTATTAGCAAACTTACACATCATTTGTTTAAAAAAAAAGAATGATAAGTAATATTTCTTTAAAATTAAACAATGGAGCAAAATAAATTTGATTGCATATGTCATCAGTCATGTAGTTACATCTTTTGATATAAAACTTAGTCTTCATTTTGGGTGAATATTAATTAATTCAATTAATGTAATTGAATACCATTTAATAATTTCTAAATATAAAAGTGTTCTAGAAAATACTAATGAAAACTTAGTAGTGATTATTGTATCATCAAAAGTAGAAATCTACTCTTACAATGTCTATTAAACTGAAAAGTAATGGCATAGTAATAAACATACTAAAAAATAAATTATTTATCATTAGATCCTAAGATTTGTGATGAAGATGCCTGAAAAAGAGGACGTGAGACTTTGTAGAAGGTCGCCTAAGGCAGCGTATTCCTCAATTGCCTTAGCTTCAATCCCACGCAGGATGAACTCCGGTAGAAACAGGGAAAGGCTGGTGACCATGACAAATGCTAGAGTTAAGGACCCTGATAGAAACCTAGGCAACCGGTATCTGCCGGTAAGGTTCTTCTTCATAGCAATCTCCACTGTCAAGCAAATCCCATGGAGGAGAAAGAACGCCGTCATTCTGAAAGTGGGCTCCATCCTTCCCAAATAGAACAGTATCAACTCATGCATCAAACCTGAAACTGCAAAGGTGCTAAACACAGCCGGTAATGGGGCCCATTTGGATCCGACAACTTTTGTTGCCATTTTCAGGGTTGGTTGGTACACTGTTGGTCGCAGGATGCTGGTGACCATGAGATTCCATCTCCTCCCCCAGAAGTCTTGGAGTGAGGTTGATCGCAGTGGATCCTTGAACTGTGGTTCTAGCTCCATCCCCAGCATGCTTTTAGCCACTGCTGCAACCACTGCTAAGATAATTTCCAACATAAAGTACATGTGGAAACAGTACATGCACATTATGATTGTTGGATGAATGCTCTCACTGTAGTCATAGATCTTCACCAAAACCCCTAGAGCAACTCCCTTTATGGCATACCCTAAAAGTGTGGTACCATCACCTTGGTTGGGTCCTTTGGAAAACAGATTTTGTTTGCATGAGTCGGCTTCAAAGGAAGAACTTTTGGAGCCATGCAATAAATCTGAAGGTGGGGTTTTCCCAGTTTTAGTGGAAGAATGAGATGATACGATGTAGGTAGGACATGGTTGGTTTTGTTGGATCTTGATGGGGAGGCAGGCCAGGGCTACAAATCGTGAAAGAGAGATTAATGGATCAGAGGAGAGAGGTCCCTTGTCGAAAGCTAAGAGCAAAAGCTTGAAGTTTGCAAGCCATGCGAGGAAGAATCCTAGAGTACCAGACAAGTGTACAGAAGAAAAGCTCAGAGGAACCAGAATGTAGTAACAGATGATGGGAAGAAAAAGGAGTAGTCGAGTTGTTCCTGGAGGGACAGACTTGCCTATCCGATAACAGTAGCATAAAGAGATTACAACTGAGAGACACACCTTAATGAGATTCATGATTTCACTCTCCATGAATGCTCAAGTAAAGATGAAGAAATCAGTGGGGATTTGAACAAGTGGGTTTGTGAAGAATGAGATTTATATATTTTTTCCAAAACCCAAACCCGGAAATGAAACTGTGGGCGGATTCCACTTTAGAGCAATTTTCTTGACTATATTTGAGAAATCAATCTATGAGCAATTGTTGTTTGTTTTCAAGGTAAAAGTTTGATATATCAAAAGAAAAATGTTTGCACAATAAGCTGCTGTCCAATAGATTAGAAAGAAACCAATATGCATTTATGATTCCTCATCCATCATGAATGTGACAGACATAACTGTTCTGTGTAAAGAATAATCTTCCTTTCACTGCATCTGTTACCTTGTTTTATGAGCTATAAAATGTTAACAGTACCTTGTCCTGCAGGTTAACAACCAATCTCCTCAACATTACCCTCAAAGGATTGAATTGAATATCTTGTTCCTTACTTCATTATGATGCTGAATCCAAAAACTTTAAAATTAGGCACTATGATCAAACCAAAATCTGAACTAATATCTTTTGGTCTTAAAAATGATTCTTAATTACTATCTTTTGGTGTTCCTTAATCTGTTAAAGATAATTATGGAAATATGAGATGAAAATGGTAGGCTAATATTTGAAGTGCAAGAATTGCAGGATGCATAAATAGGTTTGTCATGAAAAAGCTTTGTTTTTAATTGAATCTTCAGATAAAATAATTGGTTGACTCGGTTTCAATTATTAAATATATAAAGAAAAGCATCATTAAAATTTCATTTTCCTACATAAGATATTTGTAAAATAATATCTATACAATAGAGACATTTTTTATTTAAATTGTGTGCTTAAAATTTATAAGCCACTTTTGGTTGAGACCATAAAAAGTTAAACTACATCAAATTTGCTATAAAAGTCTTTTCTATTATTGTCATGAACCCTTCTTTTGTTTCTGTCCCAAAATATAAATCTCATTCCATGAATCTTCCATCACTTGGCATTGATTATACATATGATTGTAAACAGAGTCACAATTTTTTATAATCATTTTCCTGATTTTGTTTTGTGTCAGTCATGTTGCATGGCAAAGTTCATTAACTCCCTTTTATAAATTCAAATTCAAACTGATATTTTTAAAAATACTCTTGGATCTATATTTTAAATTCTAAATATGAAGCATTTGTTGATTTTCAATAATTCAACTTCTAGGTTAAGTTTCAATTGACCACTAAAATCAAAGCTATATAGTCTGATAATGTTAAAGAATTTCTAAAATTATTCAAATATTTCAATGAAAATGATGTCTAACATTAATTAATTTGTCCTCTTATACGCCACCAGTATGACAGTTTAAAAAGAATGAAGACAACAATGTCTCTTCTTGGGTTACGATAATCAGTAGAGATTACGAATGTATGTTTTCATTGAAATATATATATATATATATATATATATATATATATATATATATATATATATATATATCAAGTTATCCATATTCTTATGAAGTCCATCATTAGTCCTCAATTTAAAAGCTCTGAACCGAAACTTCTGGTCACTTCCTCCCAGTGCAATCATTTTGTATAAATATGTGTGTTGAATATAATAATTCAATATACTTCTGAGTATAAATTTCTCTTTTCCTTTGTTTTATGCTTATTGTCTTTAAGGTAATGAATGACACCAAAGAGGTAGCATTTGTAACATTTGTCTTTGTCTACTGAACCATCTCTTGAATGAAAAAAAAAAAATTCTAATAAAAATGATAGATTAATCACCAGCTAATAAAGCACTGAGAGAAAACAAATTAAAATTAAAATTTTATATACATCATAAAATTAATTTAAAGTTAAAAGTAAGCTTTTATTTAATAATTTTCTTAAAAGTTGTAATATTATATTTATAAATAATATTTTATTATATAATTTAATTATGTTTGATTGGTAGTGTGAACAAGTTGAATTTAAAAAATTCTTACCATGATGATGAGAAAAAGACATTCTTTTTATAAAATTACAATGATAGTTACTTTTCGGTCACTTGGACCAGATACCAAAATCCAATGACACTTCTCCATCTCACCAACCAAACCAAAACCATGAAAACAACACTACCATTCCTCCTACACCAAACAATCATTAACATGTTCAAATATTGGAAACTTCAAATAGTAAAATCAACTCACATGAAAACTACACTGTCTCACCTAAAAAAATAAGGAACAACAAAATTTTATCTTGTTCTACAACTATAAAATTTGACTGGGATTACATTTTTATCTTATGTGTGTATGATGGTATTATATATATTGAAGTTTTCATTAGTTATTTATACTATTTTGGAAATCAGATGTTCAATCGATTGAACATAAATATTGGATTAAAAATTATTTTGTTATTTTTAAATAATCAAATTTTAATTAAATTAAAATAAAATTGAAATAAAATTAAAAAAAAGTCAGTACTTTTAGATTAAACCAATTTTATATAAAAAAAATATATTTAGGATAATTTTTTTAATATAAATTTTTATAAAAAATATAATATATTTTAATTTTTTTTTCTTATATTATGTGAATTTTAAATAAATTTTTTTATTATATTTTTATATCATTTTAATAATTTTTTATTTTTTATTCTCTAATATATTTTATTTTTATAATTTATAATTTAATGTAACCATCATAATAATTTTTGTTTTCTTTTATAAAAATATTATTTTATCAAATCATATTATACCTAATATTCAATTCATCAATTCAACCATGTGAGTTTAAAAACATTTATTATTTGTCAAATAATTTGGAAGGTGTGGGGTGACTTTCTGAGTATGGTAAAGTACAGTGCCAGATTTAGCTATTTGGGCTCCAAAAGTTGAGTGTCCACTAACCAATTGGGTTTTTATGTAGGGTCCCATAACAAAAACATAAAATGGCTGTAATTTACTTTTAAATTTTAAAAAATAATAACTTTTACAAAAACTATATATCTACATAAGTCATATTCAGATGATTATGTATATATATAGTAGGAGGAGAGAAATGTATTGTATAAGAAAATTTAAAAATAATAAATTATTTTACATAAAACAATTTTTATATGAAATAAAAAAATCCTATAAATTCAACTTTTTGTTTTTTTAAAGATGCATCTTCTGACACTATTTACATTAATTTAATGTTTCTTTAAAAAATTAGGAAAAGTAAAATAAATTACATCAATTTAGGTTTTTAAAAAAGAAGTTTAGAATGCAAAGTTATTAGCACAAAAATAAATGGAAAATCATAAATATATTTCTTCCATATTAAAGAAATTGACAAAAAAAAATCACTTTCTACTAAAATGAAATTATTTATTTATAATTAGAACAAAAATTATAAATCAATAAATATGTTATTTTTTAAATTATCCTCATATATAAAATGTATTATTCATTTTTTTTCTTTTTTTAATGTTCACCTAACATACACTTAATATTCCTTGAACAATTTTTTTTTTCAAACAAGCTAAAAATTAAAAAAATCAAAAGGTTGATGCTGGTCAATGAAGTTCACCAGCCGTTACACTTCATTTTCATTTGAAATGCATAAATTTCATTTTCAAAGGAAAAGATAATCATAATTTGAAAATAATAGCTTAATATTTTAATTATATATTTTAATAAACGTTATTACCAAATAGGAAAACATTAAATGTTTGTGAAAAATAGAGAAAACATTAAATGTTTCTTAAAAAAAACACACTAGATGTTTCTACAATATTAAATATATTTAATTTTTTATTCAGTGCTATCTCAGAGGATTTTTTTATGTCATTTAAATATGATTGCCGATATTACTAATATTTATTTATTTATCACTTAATGTGACCATTTAAAATGTTTAACTTTTTTAAATTTTAACTATTTACACATAATTTATAATTATCATAAAAACTATTACTCTTTTTTTTTACAAAAAAAAAACAAAAAAATCCTCAACTGATATATTGAGAAAAACAAAGCCTCCAATAGAATAGAAAACTAGAAATCAGAGATGCAGAAAACTTGAACAAGAGATGAAGATGGAAAATGATAATGGAGGGAGATGCCAAAAAAATGAGGCTCATTTGACTTCCATGGAGTAGAATTAGTTTACACGTTACATCTCCTCCCAATTTGCAAAATTTTAATTGTTTTTATAAACATCAAGTTTGACAAATTAATAAATTTATCTGTTTAATAGACGTCGTTATAAAAAAAATTATGTTTTTTAAGAAATAATTTTGTTAAAAAAAATAATGTATGTCTTTTAAGAAATAATTTTATTAAATTTAAAAATAAAATAGCGATATAATAATTTATATACATCATTATCTTTTAATCTATTAATGTATTTTTTATAAATAAATTATAAAAAAAATAATATTTATTACGTTTAATTTTAAGATTATATTTCGCTATTTTTATATGGATTAAAAATTAAAATCAAGATAATATATATATATATATATATATATATATATATATATTTAACTTACTAAGATGAGTAAGGATTTAAAAACAAACAAAATTTTGGATATAAAAATTATGAAAAAATTTATTTAATATTATTAAATTATCAACCTTATATTAAATTAAAGTATACTAAACGATTCAATTATGAAAGAAAGCGTTTTCTAAAAATAAATAAGTAATAAAACGTTTGAAAATAATAAATTGGAACCGTTAAACTTTATTACATTCTAAAGAAAATATCATAATTAAAAATAAATATAGATGTATAAATTAAATTATAAACTTAAAACTAATAATTATTTATATTTTGACCTTTTCTATAAATAAAAAATAAAATATGTGAATCACAAAAAATATTTATTTATCTAAAAAATATTTTCTTTCCAATATTTTTTCCTGTACTTGTAATGTATATCTTAAAAAAAAGAATGAACCAAAAGAATTATATTATTCAAACCATATTTTACTATTACCAATGATACAAAAATTATACGTTTTCACTTTAAAAGGTGTTAGTTTGGTTTTAGTAAACTCAATCTGATAATTAATGTGATAGCAATAACTGTATAACGTTTTTTACCTGCACCAGAAAAAGGAGGAAGAAAGAGTACTAAAAGTTGGTTTCTGAATCCAAACCCAACCCGTGAATTTTCTTAATTTGTATCATCCAATTCAGAGGCACACCAAACCGACATAAACAAACAACAATACAAACACCAAAATCATCTTCTTTCCTTTCGTTGTACTTTCCAGAACACAAACGTGAGATGTACGTTAATTTTTTCATTTTTTAAAATATATATGTTAAGATAAATATTATTATTATTATTTACATAAATAAATAAACAATAGAGCGTGAGATTCTTGCAAGAGTGGGTCCCTATTTTTTTTTTCTCTTTACTGTGTAATTTGTAGAGAGAGAAACGTATGCACATCTCTCAAGACACACACAAAGTATTTAATTTTAATAATAAATGATGAAACGTTTGCACAGTTTTGCAATCCCATGATAACACAACAAACGTTAAAAAGAAAAGAAAATTGTAACACTCACAAACCCATTTATCTGTTGCAAAAATCTTTCCTTTCGTCTATCTTTTTATTTTGTTCATTTCCACCTTCATATCATTGATTCAGATTTTGGAAGGAAAGCAGAAGTGATGATGGGGTACCTCTACCCTTCTTGTAGAGCCGAATCCGCGGTTTCAACCTCCAATTCGGTGTCTTCTTCCAAAGCAACCAAAGAGAAAGAGAAGGAGAAAAGCAGTATCAAGATCCAAGAGTTTCAGTACAGTGACCTCGAAGCTGCCACCAATGGCTTCTCCGACCGAAAGCTCCTCGGCAAAGGGAGTCATGGGTATGTCTACAAGGCGGTGGTTCGCGGCCGTCCCGTGGCGGTGAAGCGTCCGTCGCGGCCTCATCATCACGGGGTTGTTCCCCGACCCGTGTCTTCTTCCGCGCCGCTCGAGATCACCAACGAGGTGGACAACGAGATCGACATCTTGTCCAAAATCCAGAGCCCCAGGTTGGTGAATTTAGTGGGTTTCACTAACGATTCAAGAGACAGGCTTTTGGTGGTGGAGTTCATGAGCAATGGGACCCTTTACGATGTTCTTCATTCATCTCCAAGGCCTCCCAATTGGGGTAGGAGAATTCGTTTGGCTCTGCAAACTGCAAAAGCCATTGACACACTTCACTCCTCGACCCCTCCCGTGATTCACCGTGACATAAAGTCTGCGAATGTTCTCATCGACCGCAGCTACAATGCGAGGTTGGGTGATTTTGGTTTGGCTTTAAGAGGCCATGTTGATGACTATAGACTCAGGTCCACTCCCCCTGCTGGCACCATGGGCTATCTTGACCCTTGTTATGTCACTCCTGATAATTTGAGCACTAAAACCGATGTTTTCAGCTTTGGGATTTTGTTGTTGGAGATTATAAGTGGAAGGAAGGCCATCGATATCTCTTATTCACCACCTTCTATCGTGGATTGGGCTATTCCTCTCATTAAGAAAGGGAAGTTGTTGGCTGTTTATGATCCTAGAATTGCACCTCCTAAGGATCCGCTTGTGAGGAAGCAGTTGGCTGTGATTGCTGCCAAGTGTGTGAGGTCTTGCAGGGAGAGGAGACCCTCCATGAAGGACGTTGTTACTTGGCTTTGTGGGCTGTGTAAACTGGTGCCTCTTCATTCGTGGAATGGTTTTAACAACCCTTGTATGATGGTTGAGACTGTGGGGCGCCCCGTTGAAGCAAGAAATAGTCAATTCAGTTCTAGGCTGGAAGGTGTGGACGAGGGAAATTTTGATGCTTTGGATGCCAGGTTGTCCAAGTCTGCTATGAGGTATTCTCGGAGGGTGTATTCTGATTTGGGGTTCAGCAGCAACTTGATGGACTTGATGGCTACCACTGAGGAGCCTGAATTTCTAAGAGATGCTGATGGGGTGGAGCATAGTTCTAAATCGGCTGAACAAGTTTCTAGCTCCCGGTTTGGCAGTGGAAGATATTCCATAAGAGGGAGGAACCTATACCGGCCATGTGGCAGTGACAAGGACGCGTTTGACTTGAGTAAAGGCCAGATGGAGACTACTTCAAAACGGGATGGGATTTCTGATTCAAATTCGAAGAATTTGAATTCTCTGGTTGCTGAGGTTGTGTAGTCAGTTAATCAATTGTTGAAACATTTGATTGGAGTGATGATGCTCAGGCTTGTGAGCTTTTCTTGCTTGCAAATTGTGTAGATTTGTCGTTAGTTCATTATTTGTGGATTTCGGAAATGATCTCTTCATTTGTAGTAGGTATTTGGATTGAAGGGCACATTACTGATGTCCCCTTAACGTTGATCAAAAGCTTCGCCAAAGTTTTTGTTTCCCCCTCATAAACAAATGCAATAGCCAGTGTATGAATGCTTAGGAACACATGATTGATCGCTGTTAAGTTACTGATACATGAAGCTGCTGCAGAAAAAGTGTAAAAACTCTACCATTGCTTGTTGGTTGAATAACCTGTTAGTATGTAGCTCAAAAAATTTCAATGCCAGCACTGCTATGGTATTTTTTTGCAATTCCGTTACCATCTTTTGGTTTTTTGATCTGTCAACTTCTCCTCTTATTTCAAGCAAGATTTTGAATCATGGCCTATTGTTGTATGCTCTATTTATTACCTATCATTCTTTATTTCTTTCTTCATCCGTCCATGGTGTGATCAACATCTTTTAGCAGTCCTTATCTGATCTGAACAAGGAATAAGGATTCTTTAAATTAATTACGTCATGCAATTAAGAACTAACGGAGTGGCTTTTATTTAAAGGTGTTCTAGCAAGAAAGAGATTTCTTGGTAAATAGTTAATTTTGCCTTAGACTTTTGCATCTTCCCATTTGCATTAAAGTAGCACTGTATTTTAATCAAGCAAATATCATTAACCTTGGGCCAAGTTTGGTTACAGAAAATTGTGGCGTAGATTAATAGGTTGGTTTGGTGGCATATGAAGATAATTTAAACAGAACAAAAAGCAAAATGACAAAAGATTAAGGTCTCCACTTCCATGAGTAGTGGTGTCTAATGGACCCCACTAACCCGATAGCAAAGTTTGGGTTCGTCATGTTGTGATCACTCTGAGGAATTGCATTATCACAAAATTGCAACTACTTAGGTAACACTAATAGAGACAGACAGCTACGTAGCAGAAAGTGGGAATATTTTAAATCTTGAAGAAGTTTCTGGTTTCTTTTCTTAGCAGTTCAATTCTTGTGTGTCTATTATTCTGCTACTATTTCACGTGCAACTCTTAATACACCACATCACGGTTATGCAACTCTTCATAGAAATGCTGCACCCTGTTAACTATTTGAAATCCGGTAAAACTAAGTGAATTTCACTTAATCTGGTAGAATTTACCAAATTTACAATTTTCAAAAGTGTCTCTTTTGATTTTTGGGTGAGTTTCACTTAATCAATGATTTGAATAACAACTTTTCTATTTTAATTATCAAAGTTTAGTTTTTGCTGTTGGGTAGTGTGACCCAGTGGTTGGGAACAAATCAAATCAAGTAAGTTGATGTGTAAGTTCCTTGATAATCATAATATTATATTTCATCATCTTAAAAAACCCTTCTTTTGGACTGATTCCTTTGGCGTTCTTGAAATGCAGGTGACATAATATAAGCTGGTGATGAAACCGTAACCCACGTTTCATTCTCAAATTTAATCATCAATTCAACCCTAAACCGTCCATTTTGTTTTTCTAAGCGTTCTTCTCTGTTGGTTTATGTTAATCATTGCAATTGCCAAACACAACCTTTCATCATGAATCTTAACAGTCACTCCATTCTATTACTTCAATAACAGCGATCAAGATTTATGTTTATTATTTCTTTCAAATATGTAAGTAAAGTTTACATTTTTTTTAAGGGTATTCAGTTTTTTCTTCTTCCATTATTCAAAAGGTTTGTTTTAAGTAAATTGTATACACTTTTTTACACTCAAAATGATACAAGTGATTTTGAGATACTTACAAATCTAAATACTTTTTTTTAGGGTTTAAAACTTTCACTTTTTCTTTTACCATTCATTCATTGATGCATGATGTTAAAAATCAACTAAGATTATTAGACAGGTTTTTATAAATTACTAAAATTTACAAAAATCATGAAAGAATTATTAAATAAATTAGTTTTTTTTTCTTAATACTGCTCGAATCAACAACTTATTGATATAAATACTTTCTTTGATCCTTAATAAAAAAAAATAATGACTTTTTTTCTTAACCGCATAGACTAGTGAAAAATAATTAATCTTGTTGATTTTTTAAAATGTTATCTAAGATAAACAAGGAAAAGAAATCTAAAATTGTATAAAAATTATAAAATATCTTATAATTTTTTATTTTTTATTTTAAATATGCCTTATAATAAATAAGGATAGGAAGAAGGAGTAATATCTATTTATCACATTATAAATATTTCAAGTCTATAAATTGACTTAAACCAACTGCATTAACTTAGAAATACTTTTGTTCCTTATACCTTCACTTAGCCCTACAGACAACAAATCCATTTTGAATTTTAAATCTTTTTGTCTCGTCTCAATTTTAACTCTGCTGAAACGGTGATATTGGAATGGCGTAAGAGTAGATAAAGTTATCAAGGCCAAACAAAGATCCCTTTCACAGAATGAACACAAAAGTTCATTCCTTTTTCATGATGCAAAGTTGCCCGATAAGAAAATTTCAATTTAACTTGTTCTGTGAGAGGTGAAGATCAGAAGAACCCAAAGGGCTATTAATTTTATATTTGGAAATTGAATTGCTGTTAGCCAAGAAAATGACTACACAGACGCCAAGTTATCTTCACTCGGTTAGAGTCATTGGTGCAGCCAAAATGGGTTTTGGTAAAGACAATGGAATCCACTATGAAGCCAAACAATAGTAGGTTGTCACAAAGTGTTGTTTCATAGTCCAAGAAACAATAACAATGTGTGTCTTTTACCTTTTAACAGTTAGCAACATACATGTAAGAAAATCTAGATTCCTTTCCTTAGATTAAGGCTTTACAGCTCAGAAACTAAGTTGCTACATAAATTTCTATTTTTGAATCTGTGACATGTGTTGTTGTTGCTGTTATGTTGTGAGATGGATGGAATTAATGTCCAAAACAATGTGCAAGAAGCAATTAGTCCAAGACTTGTGGAAATTACTATGGGAAATATTGGGGATTATAATTGTGGTTGTTTTATGGTATCTTTTCTTTTTGCCTTTCTGAAAAACTTTACTCTTTCTTCTTTTCCTTGTAAGGGAAAAGGGTAATGAATCAATGATCACGGAATGGAAGCTTGGTTCTGCAAAGGTGGAGGAAAAAGTCAAAAGGTCCCAACAATTCCATCGAGAGGCACTTCTTTTGTGTCTGTTTCTAAATGACATCTTTAGGTCAATTCAATAACTTTTGAGGAGCTTCCAATCAAAATCCTTGTACCAGTCTAGAGATTTGTGATAAAGTCTGATTCTTTGGAGATTTTTGGGAGAAAAAAGAGAAATAGTTGGTAAATTAAAAAAAGCAAATGATACTTATTTTCTTCTGACATTGGCATTTATTACATAACTAACGATTATACGAGTACGTGGAATACTTAAATAAATTATTAATTTCTTAAAATTAATTTTTTATTGGAAAAATTTTACTTGACATGATAATAATATTTAAATTTGTTTCTAATTATTTCATTAAATCATTTATAAATCAATAAAATGATCAAACTTTTTTGTAGTTCTAAAAGATATTTATTAAACTTTAAAATAAAAAGATAAAAAAATGATACTAAAATGGTGGTATAATCAATTATGAATTATTACATAATCAATTATGGTGGCATAAAAAGATAAAAGATTATTACATAATCTACTGTGCAGCACTCCATAATCAATTATATAATGTTGCATAATCAATTATGTAATCTTGGATAATTTTTTTTTTAAATCAAGATCTTTCTCCTATCAAATATGAGAGTTTCTAAATGTGTGGAATTTACCCATAAATTCCTACACATCTATTCAAATCCACTTATACAAACAAACAAGAAGAAATTCACCCAAATTTCTCTTCACAAATAAATTTAAACAATAAATTTACAAAAACAAATAAAGACTTATATTTTTTAAGCTAAGAAACCACTTACATGAGTTGTTTCTAATAAAAAACAACTAAGGAACAAGGATTGAAAAACACGTTAATTATTCTAGTTTTAATCATTTGATATATAGTTCATTAAAAAGGGTGAAAATCTCATTAAAAAAATTATGGACCAAGAGGTGAGTCAACTAATTTTTTTTATAATATATATATATATATATATTTAAAAAAAAATACATTTTCAATTATATAATTTTTTAATTTTTATTAAATGAATTACAAAAATTAGTATATTTATATATTAAAATATATAATTATAATTAATAATTTAATATTAATTAATTAATATTTATAATTTAAATATAATATTATAATATATTTGTATAGTTCAATAATATAAAAATATAATATTTTAATTATAATTTTTTATTTTAATTTAATATATATAATTCGTTCAGGACTTATCGAGTTGATAATAGAAAACAAAGAATATGTTATCATACTAAAATTAACAACTCTCATTACTAATTTTAAGACATAGCGGAATCTAACTTGTTTTACATTTAATTAATGAATATTAAAAAAATAATTATTGAGAATGACAGTAATATTTATTCAAATTTTTTTTTCCAATTGACTTTTATGAAGTTTTTTGTTTACTCTTTTATTTATAGTTCCAATGTTCTATTTTTTGTTAATTTTATTCTTATTTGGAGCTTATTTTTTTTTAATTACCCAACACATTTATGACTAGTACGCATCGATTCCAGGGTTTTGTGAGAGGACCATTTTCTTTCTCCTCACGTGTGGTAGTGTCATTGGCAACTACACCTCCTAATTTTAAGAATTTTTTACCAAAAATTACAAGTAAATTTTATATTTATTTCTTTATTTTATTCTTTAAACATTTATATGTTCGAATTCACATGTTTTAATTGTATGGTATCTAAGCTTTATAGGTTAAATATGTTTATTTTTTATTTATAACTTTTGTCAAAATTTATTTCAGTCTCTATATTATAAATTAATTAATTAAT